CCAACTCTTTAAGCAAAGTAGGTACTTTAACAAAGTTGATCCGAATAGTATTCCTACGCATGGGCATCATGATGTCCTACAAAACAGAGCAAAGATGAAACCCTCTTGTCTTTGAAATAGGTTAGTCCGTATGCAAGATGTATGCAATGTTATGATGTTATGATGTCATGGTAAAGGCATACCACAGATATTCACAAAAGGCAAACATGGTATAGGCATACAAGTCACACAAAAGAGCCCTTAGATTTCAGGCTGGCATGAAGTTCAGGTACTACCCTCTTTCAGTTTCAGTTGGTTAAGACCTGTCCTAAAAAAATAGTAACCGGGTTCTAGAGGATCTCAATATCACTAACTACCCTCAATCGGTCATAATTCCAGCTTAGCAACCTTTTCTTGTGTCCGGAACCATCGCGAGAGTTTAGTCTCAATGAGTGTAGCATACTGCTACTATTCTATGGCCAAGTTGGTCAATTTAAGGTTCTAAGGTCAGTTGGTGCTTAATGACTCCTCAGAAGACCCATATTCTCCTCGTTTCAACATAAGGGATATCAGTACAGACTAAGGTGCCACACCAATGTAGCTACTGTTTCATCCGTGTCGGTCTACGCCGGACAGATCCCTCACAGTTTATTGCTACTTACCTAAAAAGGGTACCCCCAGATCCGGGTTAGGATCTATAGAACTCCAATACAAGCCCACAAAATTTAAAGCATACAAAGCATACAATTGAAAACACAAGTGGTCTAATCCTAAGGTACACCTCACTTATTTAAATCCCCAACAGAGTCGCCAGTTCTGTGATCGGTGGGAACGAGAACTGACTGTTTTTTTAATGCTGGTTCGCGTTTGCGTTTGTTTTTGCAAAGTGTCGCGGTAAGTAAGAGTCGCCACCGTCTTTTATTTTATCCAACAAGGAAAGGACAAAAGCACAGACAAATTCCTTTTCGAGATGTTTCTCGGGTTCGGGAGGTAGATTATAGAAAGGGAAGGTGTTAGCACCCTTTCTATCTGTGGTTATCCACGGGCTCTTAGGTACTTGCTCACTATGTTTTCAAAAGTTTACTTTTCTTTGTGATTGTGGGTTTTGAAAAGAGTTTGTTGTTTTGAAAAGACTGTAAGTGCGGAAAGTTTTGTTTTGTTTAAAAGAGAGCAAGTACTTAAGAACATCTACCTACTCAAAAAGGAATTAAATTGTGCAACTGTCCTTTAGACAGTGCTATCCCACTATTGAGGAGTAGGTAGCACCGTCGTTGGAGTTTTTCGGTTCAATTCAATTTTAGGGACGTGTGGTCACTAAAGCAACATTAGGACGCTTTAGTGGTAATCCTAATGTTTTAGATCATTTTTATCGAGGCAACCATTTCGAGGCAACTTATGATCTTGGGACAAAAGGACGACCTCTAAAACATCTTATACTTAATGACCACGCTCGAGGCAACCAAGTGAGGTGTACCCTAGGAGTGGCATGTGCAAGTGCATCAATTTTCAGTTATATTATCTTTGCATGTCATGGTGAGCTACTGTTGATTTTAAGTTAGGAGAGATCTTGCCATGCAATCCTAGTTAGCATACATCTAAACAGTTAATATATGTACAGGAATTTAAAGTGCGGAAATTGTAAATCCTACGCTATTACAAGGCTTCGGGGAGGGGGATTATTTACATGTCCAAAATTGGGGAAATAAAAGCAGTAAAAAAGGTCTTAGTTTAAGCTATTACATCCCAGTAAGCAGTTACAATAAAATAAACGCGCGTGAATCTGAAAAATCCTAAGAATAAGAACTCTTGTTGTTTTATTTTATTTTTTGGGAAAATGCTAAATGTTCAATTAAGTCAAATTTAATTGATTAAAAAAAATACTGATTAAAATTAACTCTAAAACATACCTAATATTTTTTGCATTTTTTGTTTATGAAAAGGATTGAATTCAAATAAATCCTAAGTCTACTGATTTTAAAATTGAAGAAAATAAGTTAAAATAATTAACTAAATTAAATCCTAATTCTAAGTTATTTATTTTTATGATTTTTATGTTGATTAAAAAAACAAACTAAAAGAAATAAACAAAAACAAAGTACAAATGGGCCAGGCAGCAAAACAAGAATAAAAAAATATAAATCTGGATGCCTGGGTCGAAAGAGGTGCAGGCTGTCTTTCGACCCAGTGAAGAGGCTGGATCGAAGGTGCATGAGGGGCTGCATTCTGAGGGTTTTCGATCTGGACATGTCATCCTTCGAATTGGAAGTCCTGGGTCCAGTTCGAAGCTAAACTGCTGAGCTTCGAAACTCTGAACAGGAATCTGATGATGTATTTCCTGCAAGAAATGAAACACATGTTAAAGGTCCAGGGGGGATTTTACCCCCTGGTTCGAATCTCCCCCTTATTCGCACCTGCTGAATCTGGGTATGTGTTTGTTTTATCCTGGGATTCAAAGGAGGAACTCAGATTGTGCCCAAGCAATGGCACAATCTCATCTCTGCGTTGTAGCTTATATGTAGCACATTAAATCATTCACAAACAGCAGTAATAATATGAATATGCAATCAAAAATGAATTTAAAAAAATGAGTTTGAGATTAGATCCTTTTTTACCAACAGAGGTGCTTCGATCTGTAGTTCTAAGGGTGGAGGTGTTCGCTGGGTGGCAGCTTTGGCTGATGCAAGGATTGGGTATGGCTTCCTGGGAGTGCTGATGACTTTTGGCAGCGTATCTCCAAGCTCTCCTTGCTTCTTTTCTCTATTTTTTTCTGTATATTTTCGTGTAGAGTTTTTTTGGTGTGTTTTCGTGTGTTGTAATGTGTATGCTGGCCTCTATATTTATAGGGGTGTGAGGGTGCAGTAATGGCAAGAGACAGTCATTAAACAGGCCATTAAATGTCATGAGACAAGAAACTGACACATTAAATAACTTCCTTTTTTGAAACATTTGTGTCTCTTGAATGAACCTGGACGCTTTTGATTTGAGTGCCTTCTTGATGACCTCCTTCGAATGGTCCTTGCCCAAAGATCAATCGAAGGGTACCAATCGAAAGGCTTTGTTAACAGGCCAATCAAAAGGTGCTGTTTCATGCTAATCGAAGTACATGGCTAACATGCTTGTCGAAGCTACCTTGACACAATGCTAAATCGAAGGATCCCTTGGCATGTCAATCGAAGGCCTGGCCCAGGGTGCCAATCGAAAGGCTCATTCAGAATCCCAATCGAAGGGTCTTTCAGAATGCAAATCGAAGTGCTTGTCCATAATGCCAATCGAAATGCTCCTTCAGAATACCAATCGAAGGGTCTTTCAGAATGCCAATCGAAAGGTACTTAAAGCACCACTCAAAAATTTTCTTTTTCCTTAGGCAAGGGTTTCTGGTCAACCATGCAGGGGGAAGACTTTGGAAAACATGAGAGGATAAATTTTGGGGTGCAACAATAAAGTATAAATCAAATGGTTTTTACATGAATTAAAATATTAAAATTTTGAGCTAAAATTTTATTGTAATAATAAAATCAAAATATTTTTATAAGAAACCTACTCTTTTAGAGGAATCCTAATTTGTGCAATGTTGTGGGAAATTCACACCATGACGATCGTTATTTACAAAACAACACTTGTACCGACCGAAATCGTGAAAGCTGCAAAGTGACCTAAACGCGACTGCGACCGTTTTTTAAAACCTTGACCATGAGGCAGTGAAGTATGTCTTCAGTATTTGAGAAACATATTGGGCATTGATCTGATTGAGCCATGTTCTTATGGTGCATAAGGCTAGGGGTAGAAAGGGCCTTAAGTCTAATGGTTCACGCGAGCAACTTAATTTTTGAGAATTTCTAACCTCATATTAACCTTTCCTAATTATTGCACTCCAAATTTTATCCTGAGTTTCTCATTCGTATTGTTTATATCCAATTTAATATTCGTTTGCATCTTTGCATTTTATTCGCACATTCGTATTTGTTTTGAATTTAAATCATTATTCAGATGTTTTTTTCTTTTTTTACTTTTAAATTAACAAATATAATTTTATTTTATTATTAGCATTTAATAAAAATATATGTTGTTTTTATTTATTTAATTAATTTTTAGTCTAGTTTTTAGTTTTAGATTATAAAAAAATGTTTATAAAAAAAATTATTATACATGTTTTTTTCTTTTTTATTCATCATTTAAAATTAGACTTTTAGTATTTATTTTAATCTTTAGAAAAAATATATTTTTGTTTAAGTAAATAAAACAATTTAATTTTTACTCATTAATTATTATTTGTTTTTATAATTATCTCCTAACAAATATCTCTACAAGGTTTTTTTTTGGTCTTTGAGCAATACCTAAGGATAAGGTTTATGAATTTGTGATAACAAGAGAGGTTGGTATCGAGAAAAAAGAGGCAGATCTAAATATCATCAAACAAAAAATCACGAGCGATTTCCTCACAGTTTCTCTCATCCATCTACATTCGCCGGTAACCACCTTCATCATCCCTTTGTTCACCGCCTATATACCTGTCTCAATCTCCCTCATCCGTTATCCTCTACATCCACCACCACTAACCCATCAATTTCCGTCAACTTCTTTGCAACACCAACCTTCCAGCGCCTTATTTCTACGGTGAAAAACAACTCCCTCTAACTCATTTTAGAGTTTTGGTAAGCAATTCTATGCTTATCTTTGGTTAGATTAATTTTGGTGTCATGTTAAATATGTTTGAGTTTGTGATTTTTGCCTTGGGACTGTTTTGTTTAGAATCTGAGTAGATAAATTGATGATGTTGTTATTGTGTTGTTAATTTAATTTTAGTAACAGAGTTCATGTAGATATTTTTAGGGTTGTTTTGTGTTGAATAAGTCTTTATTATAATTATGGCTTATTTGTGTCGAATCTGAATTCTGGTTTGGTTTGTGATGTTGATGTCGCGTTTATTCGTATAAGATATGACCGGGAAACTATGGCAGCAGCGTGCTTATTCCTCTCTTTTTGTGTGTGTGAAAGTGAGTAAGAAAGTAGTTTTAGTCGCCTTATTCTCGCTTGTTTGAATATAGCCAAACCATATCGTTGAGTTTATCCGTGTCGAATCTGATTGGTACATATTGATGTCGACGTTTGTTTTCTTGATCGTGATAACTTGTATTGCCTATGGTTGGTGTTGTTGTTGTATTCGCTCGAGACCCATATGTTGAAACTATGACGACAATACCATGATTTAGAACCAATTGGAACTTTTGATGAAAATTTGATACTGTTGGTTTGAATCTTGATTTGAATTTAAAGTTGTGTCGTTTTGTTTGAATCGATTGGAAGGAGATTTGGATGACTTTTGTTGAACAATTGGTTTTTGAATTCGAAAGTTAATTCGGGTGGCATTACTTTGTTGTTTCCTTTTGTGCTAAACATGTTTATGCATAAATTGCTTCCCGGATTTTGATTTAGGGGTTTAGAGCTTTTTTTGAACCTGATTTCTCATGTTGCATTGTGAATCTTTGGTCCTTATGTCACTTGTGATCAGAAAGTAATATTTACCGTTGTGTTTACTTGATTTTAAATGTGTTTGGAAAGATGAATACAATGCTGATTTTTGACATTTAACTTGAATAAACACTTGTTTCTAGGTTCTTGATTGAAAAATATTCCATTGTTCATGCAATTTGATTCAAGTTTCATTTGGTTTACAATTTCTTTCGTGATTACTAACTTGATTTATGGGTTGCGCAGCTTTCAAGTAGCTCAAATATTCACTTCTTCTCAACACCACTTTGTTGCTTTTAGTTAATTAATTAAAAATTGATTTAGTTAGTTGGTTTCATTATTAAAAATTAATTAGTTTTGCTAATTAATTTTTCTTAACTTAATTAATTAATTAAATCAACTTTTAATTAATTAATTAAACATCCATTTCATATTTCATTTGTTTCATTTATCTCTAATATAGGTTCCTAGTCCTCTAGGAATTGATTCTTTATTTCAAATGAGATGCTCATATTATTTCTCTGCTATAATTGGTTTTGTCTGTTTGTTGGGATTTTCATCTGATACATGGATTCTTATCTTACGCTTTACGCTTTATGCGTTGCTTTGAGTATTATCTGATGCCTTGGGTTTCTTTGATGTTGTCTGTTTGTGATTTATTTTCACCTGAAGTTTGACATACTCTTGATTTATTTATTTGCTTGTGGTTTTAATCCAAAGGATGCGGATTTTTATTGACTTCATTATGTCAAGTGTTGGCTCCTGTTTGATCCGACCTTCCTTACCATACCTTTTACCTTGTATATATGATAGCACCTCATCTCCTCCCATTCTTCAATTTTCAAAACCTTCTCATCTTTTTTCAAAACCTTCTTTGTTTTTTCTAATTCGAATTGCTTTCATAACAAGTCTCGACTATGTCGAGTGACTTTTCAAACTTTTTTTTATTAATCAAAACACAAAAACACTTAATAAATTTGTTATGTACAAATACGCCATGAGCCTTAAGCACATGTGGAGTATTTTGGATATGAGGCATCTGACTCGACCATTCAAAAATCTTTCATGTTATAGACTTTAGTATTGTACTTATCTCAAACACTTTCAAAGACTAAAAAACTTTCAAAACTCGTTCAAACCAATTTGTGCGCTCGAGCACACCCTTTAGAACTTTTTCTAAGATTAGACATGATTCATTTATAATCGAGATATCATCCTCCTGTCCCCATGGTTAAAGGTTTCGACTTTTCTATTTGAGAGTCAGAGGCGTTTCCAAACCCTCCTCATGTTGACGCACTGTCCATCTTTCTCACACCTTGTGGGCGATTAGTTGAGATTTCTCTCCTAAAAAATGACGACTTATCTCTTCATTTAAAAACAACCAACACACTATTTTATTCTTTTTTAGAAAAACTATAAGTGCCCTGATCTCTTATTGCACGAATGGAGTACGTAGGCACAAAGGTTCGCAACTGCGGCAGACGAAATTAATAAAAATATTTCTTTTGTTTGTAAATACTCTTTCATTCATTTCCTTTAGCAAATTTAAGCTTTAGATACACTCTCTGATTAGAACAAACAAAGTGGATCTTGCGGAGTATCGTAGATGCTTAGGGTGCTAATATCATTCCTTTGCATAACTAACCTCCGTATCTTGATCTCTAATCTTTTATTTTATTTTGGATTTTATTCACTCTTTTCCCTTTTTCCTTTGGAACAATAAAGTGCAATGGCGACTTTATTGTGTGAGTTAAATTAATTAATGGCTTAGTCTCAAATTTTTACCGCTACATTTCGCTACAGCGCGACACTAATCTTAAGTGGTGGAAAAATACCATATAAAAATTTAAAAATGTCTCAAATTTCAATAATATGTTTTTGGACGGTAGACGCACCACAAATACACCAAATACATATGTAAGTAAAAAACAAATAATCTAAAAATATATTTTCAGAATTCAGATATACATTTCCATAAAATTTGTTTTCTTTACTAAATTGTAGGATTACCAATGAAGAATTACGATGCAAAATTTCTGACTTTTATTGGTTATAAAATTGTCGTGTCGTAAAAGTCGATAAAAATACTATGCAGTATGAGCGACTGAAATATGCGAGACTTTGTGTTGCTGTGAATTTATCTAAACCTTTACTGACTATGTTTAGCTTAAAGGGAAGGAAATATAAAGTTGAATATGAGGGATTACACTTACTATGCTTGACTTGTAGGAGGTATGACCATTACAAGGAAGGGTGTCAGGTGAACATTAAAGGGAAAGAGATGATTGGAGTGGAAGAGCCGATGAAGAATCTGATAGTAGGAGAAGATACATCAAGAATCATGGAGAGGAATAAAGAGGTGGATGAAGAAGGTTGTAGAAAGTGGTGTAGAAGCAACGAAGAGGAAGAAAAATAGTGGACGGCTGGAAAAACATATTACCGACGAGAGTTAATGATGTTAAAAGATGGAGTAACTCTCGATTTGTTTCCATAAGCAACGGGGGTACCAGAAGTTAACGAGTCAATTATTGGAAATTATTGCAATGATGAGGCAATTATTACTAATAATATAACAGAGGAAAAAAAAGATGATAATGACGCTGAATCGAGTATTGGGAAGGAAGAGAATAACTTGAATAGACTGGACGAGATAATTGGAATATCCGTGAGAAGAAGAGATAAGTGGGAAACATATGGGGAATATCAAACTGGAATCTAAACCAAACCATAGAGTTTGGATCGGGTATTTTTCGTCCGGATAAAAATTGAATTAAATCAATGAAATTCGATGTTAATCAGTTCAGGCAATGAATTTCTAAAATTCTACCTACGAGTCCGTCTATCCAAACCAACCATATTAATTCATATAATTTATATAATCATTATAATAAAAACTTGTATACGATATTTCACTTCAAGAAGAAAAAAATTAAACGTCATTTTTGACATTCATAACATATGGAAAAATGAAAAAAATGAGAATTTTATATTATATGGAAAATTAGTAGATGTATTTTAAATATTTTTTAAAAATATTTTGTATTTTCGTTTCCAATGTATCCTATCAAATCAATTCAAACCAACCCGTTATTTTGTTTGTTTGATTCGGTTTGAACTTTATCACAAAAATGTGTAAATCCAATTCAAATCAATCCATATATTTTTAATCGGTTTGGACATCGAATTCTCTAAAAAATAAATTAAATTGGTCCACGAACGCCTGTGTTCTAAAGGTGAAGGTGAGAAAAGTAAAATAAATGAGAATTCCATTGTTAGAATAAGTGTTGAGAACAATGGAAAACTCATTTATGATAACTACACTAGACCTCATGATGAAGGCATGGAGCTTAATGGAGATAAAATCATAATCGACAAGAACAAAGAAAACATGGTTGATGGAATAGAAGGAGAGGTCTTGGTAGTTGAAGATAGTCAAAATCATGCTACTAAAACCATTGAGAGCACATAAGTAGTTAAGCAAACTCAAATGTTGACTTATCGATGATGGTTATAGGAGTTCTTGTTCCATTCTATCATATATTTTTTAATGATTAGTTAAGACAATAAAATCATTTTGTGGAATTGTAGAGGAGCTGCTAGTAAAGCTTTTTATAGATATAGCAAGCATTATATGGATCTGTATAAATCAAATATGTTTGTATTCTTAGAAACAAGATGCAATTCAGCTAAGCTCAACATGGTGCCTCGTGCCTTTCGATTCGAGAGTGCTTGGTTGACTGATGAAAGTTACAAGGACATGATTAGTAGAGTTTGGAAGAATGAATACAACGTGAATATTAATCTTTTCATGTCAAAGAGGATATTCAACGTTGGAAATTTCATACTTTTGATCAAGTGATTGAGAAGAAGAAAGAATTCATGGCGAGACTTAATGGTATTCAAGGTTGTTTGCAGAGAAACTATTATGAGCCAGGATTAAAGAAGTTTGAGCAGAAGCTGCAAAAAGACCTTAAAATATCCTTAAGAAAGAAGAGCTAATGTGTTATCAAAGATCTAAGTTGAATGGTTAGCGGGTGGTGACCGAAACACATAATATTACCACTTGAAAACCATTAATAAACAGAGGAGGAACAAGATTACAATGCTCAAGCGATAATTATTAGTGGGTCGAGGATAAGGACCAACTGAAAGAGTTGGTGAATAATTTTTATCGTAAATTATTTGCACTTAATTACAACTGGAGTATCCTTGAGAAAACCAGTATCTCTTTCCCCTAGAATGCATGAGATAAATATCCAGAATTTAAATGCTCCCATCAAAGTTGAAGAGGTGAAAAAAGCTTTATTTGCAATGAAGCCTTGGAAAGCTCTTGGATCAGATGGTTTCCCAGTTAGTTCTTATCAGAAGTCTTGGATTATTGTTGAGAGTAATTGTTGTACCCTAAATTTTCCCTCTTATGTCTCACATTTTATGTAGGCTTATGCTTCCTCATCATACATACATATGTATATCATTGGGTCTTGTGTATGAGATCAAGGGTTTTGGAGTTGTGTGATCATCAATAATAGAAGAAAATATTTGTGACTCAAAGGCTTGGAAGATTTGGATATCATCTTCATGAGTGTCCCATTGATATGCAAGCTTTTATTGTGCAAAAGTTTCTCCAAGAACCATGGAAGGATTAGGGTTTGATCATTGGTCATCATCTCCTAACTTGTTGACTTACAATTGGGGTTTTGATTTAAATCAGGATGTGATTGGATTTTTGAGCAAGGCATGAGACTATGTGGTGTCATTTATTTCAAGATATTCATATATGTACTCCATTGATCATCATCAATTCATCGAAAGATTCATTGATAGTGGGAAGATTAAGAAATTAGTTATTTCTGACAAAAGTCAACAAAAGTCAAAGGTTGACCAAGAGGGCTTTTGGTCAACAATGATGTCAAAGTTCATATTTCAACATTACATGACCAATGATGTAATAAAATCATGAGAATTGGTGAAATTGAAGATGACTTGTCAAAAAAGAAATCTTAAACACTTAGAAATTTTTCTAAGTTATAAGATTTTCAAGCTATTTTTGCCATTTTCAAGTGATCATAACTTTCTCATTTTTGATCAGAAATTTGCAAACTTGATACCATTGGAAAGAGGAATCCAAGATCTACAACTTTGTGGTTGTGAGTTCATGTCCAAAACGTGAAAGGAGAATAAGTTATTCATCTTGGAAGAGAAGTCCATTTTGGTTCAAATTTCTACACTTAGTGAAAATTATGGGTCACCTTCATAAAATCTGTCATTTTCGTGGCCACTTTTGAGGGCTTTAATAGATACAAATAAAAAAATTTCTAACATAAAAGTTATAAGGAATTATTTTCCCTTTCCAAAAAGTACAAATTCATGAATTTATTTGAAGAATTGAGCGAGTTATGGTCTTAAGGCTAGAATGCTCCATTTATGTCATCTTCATGAACCAAATTTCCCATTTCCCATTTCCTTGCAACTTGACGTCATTTCTTTTGGCCTAATATGTTGGTTCCCGAGTACCGAGCCTTGTGCATATGCCCAAACCAGCCATGCATTCTCATGCACTTGATTTTATAATTTTTTTTCTCAAAATAATAATTTCCATGTACCTCACTTATTCCACTACCTCTTTGTACCATCTTTTGAGGGACAATTTTTGAGTCCATGTGGGGAATAAAATGCAAGAAAGGCCTGCTCCAGCTCACACAAAACACAACTTCTCACACTCTCTCTCTTAATTTTTCCATTTCTTCCAAACTTGCCCTCCAATCAAAATATGACCATGGTTACTTCTTGGCACCACTCTACACACTCTATTTAACTTATTCCTTCCTTTATTTCATTCACACACACGCGCGCACACACACACAGACACACACGCAATAGAGAGTTAAAACCAGATCTGGAAATTTCTTCATCTTTGCAAAGTTATCTTTGAATCTCCCAATTCTCTCAAGCTCTCTTCATTCTCTTGCTTTGTTATTAATCTCTGAAGCTCAAGAATCAAGCCTACTGGGCTTCTTAAGCTCTGTAACTTGAAGAAGCAGTGGAATTATCTTCCACTTGGTAAATTTATCAAGCTTTGATCTCTTTCATTCTTAGGTTTTAAATGCTATAGTATTCATCATGCATTTGTAGCTGGCCCCTACAATAGGTAGGAAGTGGTTTTATGTTTGAATCTGAGCTTGTTTGAACTTATGAATATTTAAAAAATGTGTGAATCAGTGGAGTCTGATCTATATTCATTTGTGTTAGAGGCATTATTTTGAGATTTGCTTCATATATCCGTGTTCCTTGTTCTTCATACTACATTTTTGTTTTTTATACCTTTTAATTTTACGTAGGATTGAATGAGATATTTGAAGTAGAAATTTGCAAAAATTCAACGGTTTCTAGGGCTGGATTTGTATTTTCTGGTTTGTTGTTCAATGAGGAAGATGATGTGTGTCGCATCATAATTGGACCATGGGAATTTCGCATACTCCCACTCTCTCTCTTCCACGTGCATTTTTCTTTCTTTTTTTATTTACTTTGTTTTTTATTTAATCAGAAAATAAAAAAAAGAGAAGAATATGATTGGCTGAAATACCTCTTTGTCTTGTAGTGACTTAATGAAAGTGGACCAATTGAGCTCATGTCACATGAAATTGTGTTACACTTTAATTTCATTTTTGTTTATTTAAATAGAAAACAAATAATTTTTGTTTATGGCTTGGACCAAAAAGGCATTGGGCTCTGCCTGTTTCCTTTCTGCACCCTTGTTTCTTTAAGTCCAAATGCGCTATAACTGAATCCTAGTTATGCTGAATTTTTAACTTTACACCCCTCATACCATGCTTTCTCTATTTTATTTCTTTCCTATTTTAATTTTTATTTTCATTCTCCTTCAATTCCAAAAATCCCAATAAAAATAATGAGCAATCTTTGACATATTGTTTAATTTTTAATTTCATTTTTTATTTATTTTGATAATTAATTCTGATTTTATGATTAAAGGTGTTTGTTTAACCTAGTTTGTACATTATGGTTTTGATTTTGATATTTCTCACATAGTTTTGTTCCTAATTTTTATACACATGTAGGCACATGTATATAGGATACTTCGATGCTTGTTTGTGTTTTTTATAATTAGTTTTGGATCATTTTTGAATTGTCTTTTAAATCTTGCTTTGTGTGATCAATACTTGGAGCTTTATTTAATGTTTGATATTGTTTTAACACCTTTTGCATACAATCTTAAGCACATTTTTGAGACATATTAATCCTATGAATTCACCTTATCATGTCTATTTTCTCATAATTTTTCCAAGCTTCTAACTGTTTTTCATGATCAATTCAATGCTTGCATATTTCTTTTGATACTTGTGTGCATAGTTGACATGATTAGGGATGCACTTGTGAAACGATTAGGGGTCTTGTTTCCCACTTGTGCTCACTTGTTTTACCATTGTTAGAGCCTTCTCACTTCAATTTATAGGTCATTTCATGCACCTTTACTTGTGTTTACACATGTGTGAAGTTGAACATGCATTATTGTCTAGTTTTGCCTTTCTCCTTTGTGCTTTCTATGCTTAATTATTCGCAATGCTTATGATGCTTGGATGTGTTATATTATAGGACATTTTCTTCTTACTTGTATGCCTTGATGCCATTTTTCTATGATACCTTCTTTTACTTGATTGAAAGTTCACATGCCATTAGTAGAAGTTTAGAGCTTGGTTTTGATCCTTACTTGCCTTTATCCTTGAGCATGCTTTGCCATGATGCATTTGTGATGTCTTGAGGTCTATTTTGTATATTAACACCATATCATAGCTTCTGACTTTACCTCTTTTGATGTCTACTACCATGTCTAATTTCTTACACCACTTGTTAAGACTAGTTCACTTCACATGACAACTTTGTTTGATGCTAGTGTAATTTGGTGTTTGTACCATGATTTAAATACTTATTTGAACTTCTTCTTGATCTTGATACTTTTATAATTGAGTAACATGTTCATATTTGTCTATCCCTCCTCCCACATCCCTTTTCTTTCAACTTGTTTTGCTTGATAGCATTGTATGAGGACTTGTGTCCACTTAGGATTGTGTGGTAGCTTTTGCTTGTGTGATTTGATTGTGAATTTTTCTCAAGAATGCTTGTGTGATAATGATGAGTCCCTCGTGTATTTAATTCTGACTTGAAAAATTCTTCATCTATTTCACTTCACCTCCCTATGCCATGAAAAGTTAGGCACTTGACACATAAGTCTCCACTAGCTAGTGTGCTTACATGTGTGACTTCTCTTGTGACTCTTAACTCCATAAATATTATGCGTGATCCTTAGGGTATTGTTTGGCATGACTTAGTGTTAAATTTTATACACTTTTTTTCCGCTTTGAATGTGTGCTACTTGTTTAGGACTTAGGTCCATTCTTGCAACTTGTTTGAGTTTAAGCTCTCTTCACCATGTATGCTTGCTTTGCTCAAGTGATGTTTGTTAATATGTAACCTCTTGGTGATAATTTGTAATGTCTTAAAGAATGTTTATACTTAGGTATCTACTCTTTCCTCTTATTTTATTTATGCTTTTAACATTGTTTGAAGTTATGTCTTCTAATTGCTTAATTGTACTTCTACTTACCTAGTTAGGTGATTTCATCTTCTTCTTAACTTATGTTGCATTGTTTAGGGTAGAATTACGATGATAACATGTTAGGGGGATTAGCTTTGAGTTATTTGATATACTTTCATAACATGCCTTCTTTGGTTGGTCAATCATTGCTTGTTTGCTTTTCTTCTTTACTTGCTCAAATACTTGTTTGCTTGTCTTTTTTGTGTGATCCTTGTGTGATATTTTTCTCATCTTTGAGACACATTTGTATGAACTTTTTGAGGTATAATTGCTGAATTGTATAGGTATTTAACTTTATTGCTTCAATTCATCTTTGCTTTCTATGTTTTGATGTTTGTTTGACCCTTAGAGCCCTGAGTGCTTGTGTGTTTGTTGATTGCTTATGTTTGATTTGTAATGTCTTAGGGTAGAATCATTTAAGCATGACCATTAGGGGACCCTAGCGTGTGTGTGTGTGTGTGTGTGTGTGTGTGTGTGTGCGCGTGTGTGTGTGTGTGTGTGTGTGTGTGTGTGTGTGTGTGTGTGTGTGTGTGTGTGTGTGTGTTGAGTCTTTACTTAGACAAATTATTACTTTGCAATTGATGACTTGAGGCATGTTAGAGTTTAGGCTCTTGTTAGTTGCTACTTAATGATTAATGTTTGTTCTTACACTTATGTGTTTGCTTGGCTCTTAAGCCATATATTTTGAGGTTTATACTCATGTTTGTTTCTTTGTCATTTACTTGTGATAATATATTCCATTAGGATTTTAGTTTCGTCTTCTTTAAGATGTGAACAAAATAGACCTTAGGATTGAATCCATGCATGATAACAAATAGATAGTTCCCTTAACCTTAACCTTAGGACCATATTTGCATGCTAACATTAGATAGTTTTTCCTCTCATCCTAACTTTAAGACCACCATTGCATGATAACATTAGGGCTCTAGTCTCCCTTAGAATTTTTCGACCCTTTTTGCATCTTTAAAACTAAAATTTATTTTTCTATATCAAATCTCAAACACACTTAACAATAAAGAGGCTAACCATGTATCTAGATTATGTTGCATTACGTTGGTATTTCGAGTTTGTTTCAGGTAATTATTTTTCAAAAGGCCTACATGAGAAAAGGAGAAGAAATGGGAAAGAAATGAATTGAAAATCACAAAGTTGCAGAAAGTAGCATAAAACTTCATATCAGAAGGCTGTGGCGGTCGTCACAGCTTCCTGACGGTCGACACAGGAAAAATATGTGTGCCCCTCGACAAACATGGTATGACAATTGACACATGTTAAAATATGTGTGTCTCACGACACACAATGTCTACCACTCGTCACAAGCTCCTTTCAGTATTAAGTACAAAGTTTCCTCCACGTTACAAATGAACTAACCATTTCCTCCTGGTTTTTCTCTACGCACAGAATCTTCTGAGACTGGGACATGAAGTCACGACTCCTAAATTCTCTTAATGAATTTGTTATAGGAGAGCATTATAAAAGGATGACAGTTTACAACAAAAAGGTTCGAACCCATTGTTCCAATTTTCAAGAGTTCCGAGTTTTGTTTAGAATCTTTAAGCAGATAAAACCCTCACCTGAATAGCAATAGTTTTCTACATTAGAAAGTTATTGCATCATTAGATTCTTTTCATAGTCTCCTGAATTTTTCTTTAGGTTTATTTTCATTTCTGTTTTCGAATTTATTTTCCGCGAAGCAAATCCTGCCGATCGTTGGAGGATTGTTTTTAGTACTAGAAGTATTGCAGAAATTCCATTTTCCATTATATAATTCCAAGTTTTTAATTCAATTATATTACTTCCTTTATTTATCAATCATGACTGAATCACTATATGCTTGCTATTATTTTATGTTCATAATAAATAATATGTCTGGCTAATTTCCCAGATACCACTATGTAAGGGTCATAAACCGAAGGGGTTCGGTAATAAATTGGCATAGACATTTATAAAATACTTTTCTGGTTTGGTTTCAACACTTAATATTAAAATTGTTTTGTTACGAAAGTAAAAGACAAACAAAGGCTAAAATCGATATAACGAGAGTTTGGGATCTTAACTAGATAGTGGTAATCAAACATTAGTTTTAAATACAGCGAAAGCGGTTTGGGATTGATTAGATTCTATTTATTTACAAAAAGTATTTTTAGATTTTAAATGAGACATCAAGAGCAAGCATTTAAGTTTAATAATATAGTCTGAATCAATAATCACGAGAGTGTGAGATGAAGGTTTTTAAACTGATAGTTTCTACTGAAACAGTGTTTTAAATACTTAAAGTTATGCCAATGACTTACTCAATCCCCAAAGTCAAATGTATTACATAACGGTGTCCCGTTATCAAATATTTCATTTAAGTCTAAGCTTATTTTTCGTCCAACCCAAAACCTAAGATTAATTATTAGCATTAGCTTTACACTGTAACTTTAGATAGAAGTAATTCGATTATCAGTACTTGTGGGTTCAATATCTTTTAAAACAACGCGATTGGAATGTGAACTTGCAGTTACTACACCCGATAGACTCTTAAAGTCATGATCAAGTTTTTGGCACCGTTGTCGGGGACTGATTTAGTCGATATTGTGATCCCTTGTTACGCAGTATAGACTAAGGCAACAAAATTTATTTCCTTTTATCCGTTGATTGTATGCCAAACACTCGCTCTCAAGGCGATGAATTAGAGAAAAAAATCGACGAGGTCGAGTGTTTTGTTTGTATAAGACGTCGAATTAGAGAATACCAAATTAAGTACAATCCTCCCGACTTATCTCTTTCTAAACCAAGAATGGCCGAAGGACCCCAAAATCGTCCATTGAAGGATTATGCTGGCCCATCGCAGAAGGAACCTCACAACAACATTGCTTCCCCCTCTATCACTCGGAACGATTTCGAGTTAAAACCTTCGTTATTATAAGTTGTCCAACAAAATCAGTTTTCGGGATGTCCTACGGACGACCAGAACTTACATTTGTCCGTGTTTGTGCAGTACGCAGACATAGTAAAAGCAAATGGTGTCAGTCCCAAATCAATAAGACTACATCTTTTCCCTTTCTCATTGCGAGATAGAGCTAGATCTTGGCTCCAGTCTCTGCCGTCCAACTTTGTTACCACATGGAACAAGTTGAAGAATGTTTTCCTAGCACATATTTTTCGCCAAGTAAGACGGCTATGCTAAGAGCCAATATTAATGGTTTTAAACAAAAGGAAAGTGAATCTCTTTTTGAAGCATGGGGAAGATACAAAGACATGTTTGCGACTTTTTCCACATTATAGTCTAGAAGAATGGATGATCATCCACACCTTTTATAATAGTCTCTTGTATAACACAAGACTAACGATTGATGCTACAGCTAGCGACATACTGATGGATAAACCTTATCATGATGCTTATCAGCTTATTAAAAGTATGGCTCAAAACCATTACCAATGGGGAAGCGATATAACCATTATGGAGAAACCTCAAACAAAAGGAGGTATGTACGAAGTTAGCAGTTTAAACCAGGTTAACGCTAAGTTAGAAGCTCTTACCCAAAAGATAGAAAACTTGACCACAACTCCCACAACCACCATGGTTGCAGTAGCTCCAACCTGCAATTTATGCAGACTTCACGCACATGCTGCACCAGAATGTCCACTTTTAATAGGAGTACCAGCTGATCAAGAGAATTATGCTCAAGGAAACCCATACGGGAATACCTATAGTCCTACCTGGAAGAACCATCCAAACTTTTCGTACAAGAACAACAATGCATTATATGCATGTGGGCAAGCTCCCACTACGCCACCAGGATACCAGAAAGACGCCCAAATTACTCCAAATGTTCCTAGGAAATCTAATATAGAGATCATGATAGAAAACTTTGTTGCCACTCAAGCTCAACAAAACAAAGATTTTCTAAATCAAAACATACACACTAGTGAACAACTAAAGTATCTATCAAACAAGGTTAATGCCCTAGCCACTCATAACAAAATGCTTGAAACACAAATCTCTCAAGTGGCTGAACAAAAAGCAGCTACAACTGCTACAACTGACACTTTTCCTGGCCTACCACAACCAAATCCAAAAGGTCATGCTAATGCTATAATACTTCAGAGTGGAATAGAAGTAGATGGACCAACTGACCCAATAACCAAAAATCCATCCATGTACCAGAGTACTGCTAAACCAACTGAGAAGGAAGACAAACCAAAAGATAATGAGAAGGGAGATGAAAGCACAAAAGAGAGAGAGAAAAACCTTACGTACCTCCGCCACTGTACAAACCACCGATATTGTACCCTCAACAGTTAGCTAAATCTAAAAATATAAGGCAATTTAAGAAATTCGTTGAACTTATGAAACAACTAAATATCACTATACCCTTTACAAAAGCCATCACACAAATTCCCTCCTATGCTAAGTTCCTTAAAGAAATCTTATCCAATAAGAAAAAGCTCGAGGACAATGAAACTGTTATGCTCACTGCACAATGTAGCGCTATAATCCAAAATAATATGCCCCCTAAGCTGAAAGATCCTGGTAGTTTTTCCATACCATGTATAATCGGAAAATTCGTCATAGACAAAGCTCTATGCAACTTGGGAGCCGACATTAGTCTAATGCCTTTATCGATCTGCAAAAGTCTAAATATGGGAGAATTGCGACCAACAAGAATGTTCGTACAACTAGTTGATTGTTCAGTGAAGTTTCCTTTAGGAATGCTCAAAAATGTTCCTGTACGTATTGGACAATTTTATATCCCTATTGATTTCATTATTATGGATATCAAGGAAGATTCCAACATCCCTATTATACTAGGAAGACCATTCTTCGCCAATGCCGGAGCCATTGTAGATGTAAAAAGAGGTAAACTCACATTTGAGGTTGGCGCAGAAAAAGTCAAATTCATCCTCTCACATTTCTTCAAGGCACCAGTTATAGATGATTCTGGCTGTTTCTTGGACGTCATTGATGAATGCGTTAAAGAAATGGAGAAATAACAAACCAAATATTCAGAAGCTCTAAAAATTCTAATACCTTCCATCATTGAAGACGATAATTGGTGTGATGAATACAGAGATGACAATCTAAGTGAATGTCTCCCGCTAACTCTTGACCCTATGCCTTTCCTAAGGAAACTAGTTGTCGAACTTAAAACATTACCAAAAGATCTAAGGTATGAATTCTTAGATACAGAATTCGAATAACCCGTCATAGTCAACACTGATTTAGGACAGATAGAAACATAAATATTACTACACGTCCTAAGGAAATACCCAACTGCTTTAGGCTATAACATCTCTGATCTAAAAGGGATAAGCCCCTCAATTTGCATGCATCGCATTATGCTTGAGGAAGACTGCAAGACCTCGAGAGAACATAAGAGAAGAATAAATCTAGTTCAGAGTGATGTAGTTAAGAAAGAAGTACAAAAGTTATTAGAAGCAGGAATCATATATCCGATATCTGACAATAAATAGGTTAGCCTGGTACATGTTGTACCAAAGAAGGTAGGTGTTACGATTGTCAGAAATGAAAAAGGAGAATCCGTAGCACAACGTACTCAAACCAGATATAGAATGTGCATTGACTATAGGAAATTAAACAAAGCCACTCAAAAAGATCATTTACCTTTACCTTTCATTGATCAAATGCTCGAACGACTTGTTAAGCACTCCCATTTTTTCGATCTGGATGGTTATTCGGGATTTTTCCAAATCCCTATACACCCCAGAGACCAAGAAAAGACTACATTCACTTGTCCTTATGGTGAATTTTCCTATAGAAGAATGTCGTTTGGACTATGCAATGCTCCCCAACATTCCAAAGGTGAATGATGTCAATTTTTGCTGATTTTATAGATGACATCATGGAAGTATTTATGGATAATTTCTCCGTCTGTGGGCAAAGCTTTGAAGGATGCTTATCGAACTTGGAAATGGTACTTGAACAATGCGTAAAAGTTAATCTCGTATTAAATTGGGAAAATGCCATTTCATGGTCTGACAAGGAATTGTACTTGGACACATAGTGTCTAACAAGGGGATTAAAGTTGACAAAGAGAAAATAGAAGTTATAGAGAACCTTCAACTTTCGAAAACCTTAAGATAAATATTAAGTTTCTTAGGATACGTCGGTTTCTACCGACGATTCATTAAAGATTTCTCTAAAATTACCAAACCGCTAACTAGCCTG